GCATACAAGCGGCTAGCCCCTGCTTAAAAAAAGACAGTGAGCTTTTGGAAAAGGTCCAGAGAACAGCAACGAAGCTGATTCATGGAATAGCGAAGCTTCCGTATGATGCTCGACTGGCCAAGCTAAACCTATTCCCTTTGTCATATCGTAGAACTAGAGGCGACTTGATTACAGTCTTCAAATTGCTTAGTGATAAATTTGCACCTGATATGCCCTCATTTTTCCTGTCTTCCAAAACAGAGAATTTACGAGGACACTCCAAAAAAGTTCACAAGCCCAGAACAAATTACTTGTCAGCTGATTATCGACTTTCCCACCGAATCATCAACGAGTGGAATTCATTACCTCAAAATGTGGTTGAAGCTCCATCCGTAGATCATTTCAAAAGAAAGTTGGATCAAGTGAGAGAACACCATTACCAGGACTAACACAGGCCATCAAGCCTCCTGTCCTATCCAAACTGAAACTGAAACTGATATAAGGGGTTGGAGTCACTATGCATCATATAAACTGGATCTATTGGTCTAGCCGTAAAAATAAAGATGCAAGCTGAAATGTGGCTTACTGCTAAACTTCACACAAAATCGCTTACGCAAACACAAGAACACATGTGTTGTAACTTCAACCTACTTTGAAATGAAAGATTCAGTTGGAATTTCCCAAGAAACGGTCGAGACAACAAAATCTATAGCAGAAAACATAGACGGGAATTTCATGGAAAAAGTCATATATTTCCCATGTTAATTACTAATCCATGTGGATATCAGTTGATCACGTTATGATCAAGAGGTCGTGTATCGTTTAATATGTTTTGGCAGATAAACCAAAGTGAGTATTAAATACATACAGTGCTTACTTAAGAAATGGTTTCAAAATGTGGTTGAAGCTCCATCCGTAGATTATTTCAAAAGAAAGTTGGATCAAGTGAGAGTACACCATTACCAGGACTAACACAGGCCATCAAGCCTTTTGTCCTTTCCAAACTGAAACTGAAATCATTCAGGCTCATGTTTCCTATTCAACTCTGGATTAACCACTCTACTAAGACAACCTGTAACATGTTAACTCAGACTTTTACACTATTATTGTGTGGCTGGCATCAGATGGACAAAAAAAAAATTGTACAACAAAAGATATAGTTATTAGCATTCTTAACACTTCACCCTCTATAAGCACACTCACTCCTAATAAGCAACTTTCCTTGTACCAACCTTGGCTTTCCTTACTTCATGTGAGCTTACTTCTTTTTGTTAAGCGCTCAACTCATTGTTCCTTATAGCTACATTCTCTTGTATGGAGCCTCTGACTTCATTTCACTCTAACAAGAGATAATGTGAATTTATTATAATTTATTATATCTCTCTCTGTTCTACCACGAAATGTTAAGCAACTTTTGGTGTTCATATGCAAATGCCTTGCTGCTCTTCTGTTTCTTTTCCTTCTTTTTTTCAGAATCTCTCTCTGAGGGCACATCTATGGAACTTCTGACGTCTGGAACAAACTCGACGTACGTGCCTCGTCAAGGTCATATTATACAGCAAGCGCTCCACGAGTCTACTTTGTAGCAACTTTAAACTTAATAATTTTTGAAGCATGTTGTGAGCCGACAAATGTTGTAATTTGTAGATCACGATTGTAAAAATGGTGTGTATCTGCAGAAATTTATTATTATTATTATTACTAGTTTCATGTTACAAACAAATGAGATGGTTAAAGCTTCTGTATTGTTGCTTAGATATTCATTCACTATACCGCTCTGTCATGAAGATAACAGCTCATACAAAGTGCACTCCAACCATTACCTTATAAGAAGTACAAACTCATGGCGCAGTATTACTACGTAAATACTTAGCGGGTAATTATACCTAAACACCCTGTTGCAAAAATTTCATGATTTATTATTTTTGTTTTTCAAAATTTATGTTGGGTTTGCACTTTATCTGTGAAGATTTATTGGAAACATTTTTGTGTACAATTGACAATGCCTTCAAAAGCTGTATGTATTTACTTTATCAGAAACATATTATGAATGTTATCATTTTTCAGAGTAGCGTCGGGCCATAATACACACATCAAATAATAAAAAAGACCAGTGACAATAATTTATCACCGGAAAATGGGTGCAAATAAGCCGAGTGGTTTACAGTGGATCGTTTAAATATCCCGTTTATTGAGCTATATAAGGAACCTGTAAATTTTACTCTTCGAGTCTAACTTGCCCTCGCTGATCTCTCACAAATAGAGAAAACTGTCCAATCTCCACAGTCAGATTGTAATATTCAAACACTTTTAATGACAAGCTACGACTTTCCCTGCCTAAGAAAAGGCACAATAATAAACCGAACACGGCAGTAAAATTGGTGGGTACCTGCTCATACAGAAATATATTATTATTATTACACTTCAAATTACACGAAAGGCAACGAAAGTCATATTACATCTGTAAATTTGGTACAATCTCCACCAGTAACGATGACAAATTCCAAGATATACTAGCGGAATTTTCAAACGCAACCAAAGCAAGCCCACAGCCTTCCAAAAGTAAACTAAAAGTATGTTGTACGATGAAAACCAAAAATGAATCTGTGTTTGCTAGACGCAGGAGGCTGGCAGCAAGTAAGTTAAAAATCGCTAGAGCTGAAGTGGGCAACATGCTACGGCCGAGGATTGTCCGTCCATCTGATAGTCTATAGGCGTCCCCTTTTCATATGATCCCAAAGAAAATTGAAGGTGATTGGAGATCGTGAGGCGATTATAGAGCCCTCAACCGTCAAACGGTACCAGTTAGTCACACAGCACCTCATATCCAAGACTCTACAAATGATTTACAGGTTATGAAAATATTCATCAAAATTGACTTAGGGCATATCACAATATCCCAGTAGCTAAAGAAGATATCCCTGAGACAGCTATTACTATACTTTTGGATTGTTCGAGTTCGTACGCTTATCATTTGACCTGAAGAACGCGGCACAGACATTTCAAAGATTCATGGATAACCTACTTCAGGATATGCCATTTGCACAGGGCTATGTATACGATTTGTTGATTGTTAGTCCCGATTTAAAATCACACGATCAGCATGTTAGAGGAGTGCCGAAACGGCTGGGTGAAAATTGAATGAATCTTCACCAAAGTGTGTTTTCAATGTTCAAACTCTAAAATTTCTTGAGCACATGATAAACCCAGAAAGGATTACGCCCATCAAAGAAGTGGACATCACCAAATAATACCTCATACCTAGTTCTCTTACACAACTTAGAAACTTCCTTAATCTAATTAACTTTTTTTAGCAGATTCGTACCCGATTATGCCCAACTAATGCAACGTTTGACAGATTCACTTAAAGGGAAACCAAAAGAATTCAAACTGACTTCCAAGACTGTTGGGGCTATTAAACAGCTAAAGGCAAACCGGCTCAAGCATCTAAATTGATGTACCCGAATTCCATTTCCCCACTTGCATTGGTTGTAAATGCTTCGACAAAACAATAGGCGGTACTCTTGACCACTTGCTTGAAAACGCCTGGAAACCAATTGCTTTCTTCCAAAAAAGACTCAATCCAGCAGATAATATATTCTACCTTCGGAAGAGAAATTCTCGCAATCTGCCTAACTCTCAAACATTTCCGAAACATGTTAGAAGGCAAGGACTTCATAGTCTTTAGGGGTAACAAACCACAGACCAATGCACTAGAAGCGAGAGCCGATAAATACTCACCTCGAGACGTTCGAAACCTTGATTCTATATCACAGTTCACGAGTGATATTCAAAATGTCAAAGGTCAGGAAAAACAGGTGGCAGATGAATTATCTCGACCAGAATGAGTGTGAAACAACATTCACATTTAGAGCTAGGTTACGGTTTTTGGTAAACCTATAACAATAACGACGGATAGAGTGGCACAATTTGAATTTGAACTATTTAACAGCCTAACTAAAGTTCTTGGCTACAATAGGAAAGGGGCTTTGTGTAGATTTTAGCAATTTCATGGTTGAATTCACGAGTCAAGTAAAGCTAGACCACTATGGAAAATCTGCAAGCACTTGGCGGCTCTTTCGTCCTGGTAAGGGAGTACGTTGCACTGTATATCACCCTCAGTCTAATAGGATGGTAGAGCGTTTCCTCCGTCAACTAAATGCTACCCTTATATCGCACCTAAACCCCAATCAGTGGGTAGAATTCCCCCCATTACTTATGAACAACTGTCAGAACTGACTCAGAGTGTTCGGCCGCGGAACTAGTTTACGGAACGACTCCGGGACTACCGGATGAATTTATTAACACTCATAGTGACAGTAAAACTCCTGATTGAGAAAATTACGTAGATCAACCTTGGGACCGTATTATCCAAACTCAAACCAATTAATACTCGTGAACGATCGAGAGCTACGTATGTACCTAAGAATCTAAGCGATTCCGATCACGTCTAGATAAGATGTGACAAAAAAGCACCGCTTCGCCCTGCATTCAAAGGTCTCAAGAAAATCTAAATATTTCGTGGTAAAAAAACACCAATTCGACTAAGTAAGTTTTTAGTGAGATACTCACATATTTCGAAGGCAGCTTCTAGGTCGTGGATGTTTAGCAACGAGTTACGGTTGAGTGCGATTGTCGTAATCAGCTGATGGTGATCACCAGTTAAATAGCAACTGTTGCTGCCATTTCTATGGACCATGTGGAAGGCGAATGGCAGGATGATTCTCAATTCTATTGTATGCTCAAACTCATCTTTCACCAATCTTAGCTTTTTAGGAGCTAGTTAGCGCGCTTTCAAAAATACAGGTTCTGTATGTAGTCGTGAAGTGTTGTGAATCCTTGCTAGTAACACATGTTCGTTTCTGTTGAGTTTTGTAAAGTTCGGTTACTTGTCGAGTGCCTGTCAGGAGCATGGCTCACTTTTGTCTAGTTTACCTCAGCATTAACTAAAACTAGAAAAAGAAGTTCCGCAGACAGACAATCTATTATTTCTCTCTACTACCATCCGTTTGCTCGTGTCGATGAGTAAGTTTTTGTGTTGTTGCAGATTTGAACCAATCATTGGCATTGAATATCCGGTTCAACGAAAATTTGGTGAACGGACTTGCGTAAACCTACGTAAGATTAAACACGTCCCTTATCATATTTGGCAGTCGGTTTCCTATTGATCAAGAAAGGCGGCTTGAATAAAGAGCGCGTCACACTCTTTCTCGTGATGTCATCTGTTCTAAAGGGCAAGATTTTGAAACCATTTCTTAAGTAAGCACTGTATGTATTTAATACTCACTTTGGTTCATCTGCCAAAACATATTAAACGATACACGACCTCTTGATCATAACGTGATCAACTGATATCCACATGGATTAGTAATTAACATGGGAAATATATGACTTTTTCCATGAAATTCCCGTCTATGTTTTCTGCTATAGATTTTGTTGTCTCGACCGTTTCTTGGGAAATTCCAACTGAATCTTTCATTTCAAAGTAGGTTGAAGTTACAACACATGTGTTCTTGTGTTTGCGTAAGCGATTTTGTGTGAAGTTTAGCAGTAAGCCACATTTCAGCTTGCATCTTTATTTTTACGGCTAGACCAATAGATCCAGTTTATATGATGCATAGTGACTCCAACCCCTTATATCAGTTTCAGTTTCAGTTTGGATAGGACAGGAGGCTTGATGGCCTGTGTTAGTCCTGGTAATGGTGTTCTCTCACTTGATCCAACTTTCTTTTGAAATGATCTACGGATGGAGCTTCAACCACATTTTGAGGTAATGAATTCCACTCGTTGATGATTCGGTGGGAAAGTCGATAATCAGCTGACAAGTAATTTGTTCTGGGCTTGTGAACTTTTTTGGAGTGTCCTCGTAAATTCTCTGTTTTGGAAGACAGGAAAAATGAGGGCATATCAGGTGCAAATTTATCACTAAGCAATTTGAAGACTGTAATCAAGTCGCCTCTAGTTCTACGATATGACAAAGGGAATAGGTTTAGCTTGGCCAGTCGAGCATCATACGGAAGCTTCGCTATTCCATGAATCAGCTTCGTTGCTGTTCTCTGGACCTTTTCCAAAAGCTCACTGTCTTTTTTTAAGCAGGGGCTAGCCGCTTGTATGCAGTACTCAAGTTTAGGACGTACGAACACTGTATACAAAGTCAAAAACGTTTTAGCGTCGACATGAGTAAAAGCCCTACGTATTGACCATAAAGTTCTAAAAGCTTTGGCGGCTATTGCACGGCAGTGTGCAGTAGTCTTCAGATCTTGGCTAACGATGACTCCTAAGTCATTATGTGTCTGGACAACAGGTAGCTCAGTGTTATTCATCGTGTATGTATCTGAACCTTGATGACCGATATGCATCACAACACACTTGGAAGTATTTATCGGCAGCTGCCATGTATGAGACCATTCGGATAATTTCTTCAGGTCATTTTGGAGTTCTAAGCTATCACCCTTACATCGTATCGTTCTCCATATCTTGACATCGTCAGCATATAGCAAGACCGATGATGATAGTAAGCGAGGAAGGTCATTTACATACAGGAGGAATAGCACTGGCCCCAAAACTGTACCCTGGGGCGCTCCACTAAGCACAGTTTCCCAGCTAGATAATTTTGAGTTTACCCGTACTCTTTGTTGGCGCCCAACAAAGAAGTCTTCTATCCACGTCAATAGATTGCCTCCAATTCCGACATTTTTTAGCTTATATAACAGCCGGTTGTGCGGAACTTTTTCAAAAGCTTTGCTGAGATCAATGAAGGCTATGTCTTCAGGTAACTTTTGGTCTTTAAGAGCTCACCAGCTTACACGAGTGACTAATAAGTTAGTGAGACAAGAATAACCTATTCTGAAACCGTTCTGTTTCTCCGAGAGGATTTGGTTTACATCGAGGTACTTAAAAAGCTCCCTTTCATTCGAGAATTTGAATACTACTTTAAGCAGTCTAGATTGATTAGGCTTCAAGTTCGCTAGACTACCTAGTCTATACACCTTTAGCAAGGTGACTCTGGAGTTATTTGAGGCATGAGTTGATGAAGTAGTTGTTTTATCAGGACAATGTTACGCTCAAAACGAGTTTTTGGTTCGGAGCTTTCGCTCCTTGATCCTATGAAAAATAACTGATCTGTCACTGTGATCAGCCTTCGATTTTTTGACTGCTTTTATGGGGGCAGGGTTCTCTTTTATATCGTTATTTTGTTCCTTCCTTACAACCTGTACCCATTCGTCAACGCTGCTTGTAGAAGCAACCACAGTCGCGTCAAACATACTGTGGGATTCCGGAGGGTTTTCGATGACTTGGAAGGTCAGGTTATGTGTCCCACTAGAAACTGATCGAGCCTTACGGTTGCGGCTTCTATGTGTTTGTTTCTGGATACCATTTTGAGGACGTGGGACAGAAGAAACTTTCTTCCTTAAGTTTTTAGTTGGGACAGACCATTTTGGAGACTGTTTTCCCTCCTTTGTTCGGTGCGAGTCATCTGTTTTCGAACTCACTTTAGTTTGCTTCACGCCAATTTGCGTGTCGACGGAGCGAGTACTTGTTGATGTGTCGCGACCACACTTGCCAAAACATTTTTTCTCAGCATTAACCACTGAGATGGTCTCGGTTAGCAAGCTGTTAGCATCGGAACAGCACTGTTGACAGAGCCATACGCAACCCCTCTTACTAAACCATTTGAAAGCCGCATGCGTTGACTTTGTGCAAGCTTCGTGGCACAAGCCTTTGCACTCATCTCACTGCATGCCGCCTTCAACAGGATAACGACAGCTCGGACGTTGGCAACTGCTTTTTTGCATTGTCCAGTCATTGAAAAACGGAGTTTTTTTTAAAAGAACTAGATGCAAAAGTACTCAGAGACAAAAATGATCTATGACCAAAAAAAGTTGAAAACTGTAGATCGTTAGAACCAAAAGTACTAACAGTTGCAATAGAAAAACAGAGAACTCAAAAGTACTGGCAACAAACTACTTTAGAAACAAAAACGATGCTCTAATCGAATACTTTAACTGAAAGAAACTCAATTAAAGTGAAAAACAGTAGTTTTGATACGTATAAACGATCAAAACAAAAGAATTTACTCAGCGAGGAAAAATACCACTGTCCTTTTTGAATAGCGCGCCGTAAGTTTTCCTGTGCAACGACTCCTGACATAGGCGCTGTTTTTCAACTCGAAACCATATTTTCTTTAAATGGCTGTGTCTTGTACATTCGTGTCAACATCTACTAGTAGATATGGTTCTTCCCGTGGATCTCAAAATAGTGTCAGAAGAAATAAATAAATTGATTTTCGGTGGATTCGGATTCCACAACTTCTGTCCTCTGATGTTTTATTTATAAAAGCTAATTAATCCATTCACGTTTATACCTCGTTCTTTTCTGAAGTTTAAACATAAACGCTACAAACTTCATATCCCCAGATTTTATCTGTTTTTCAAATATTTCTTTACTTGTTTATGGCTTTTTCTGCACTATCTATATTACCATTAATGCTTCCTAGAATTTTCAGTGATATTTTAATTCATGGATGACCTTTGAGCGATACTAAAAAAGGCCTTAAGTATGTCCACCTACATACTACGGCTTAATGAGAGTTATAAACCTGTATGAGGAATTATGATTAATATTTACAGTTGATAGTTAGGGTTAGGAATTAGATCTAAGGTTTTCATCACGAACTGACGTCAGCTATAATACCAAAACTCTATTCAGCCAAATGAGTGAATTAACTTCACTCCAAAATTCAAGACATGTTATTGTAAATCTGATTAGTTCGTCCATAATTTTATACTTGTTTACTACCTCATACTGTGGCGATATAAGTTCAGTTAATTAGATTAAAATATCTCTTCCTAATTCAACGGTTTGCGTAATTGTTTTTAAGCCATATCACTTAGCCTTCAAAAGCAGAGTACTACTATCTTTCATACCTCCCTTTTAAGAACCAAGCTTCAGCAGCCTCATATATTACACTGTTGTATGACTTTCGTAACCTTTATTCAACCTGATTTCGTGCTTACTAGTATAGCGTATTGGGGTAATGGGTGGATAGAGATGCGTAATACATACCACCTCAGTCGATTAAGTTTCACATCCTTACCGATTTGATTCACCATCCCTGTTTGACATCCTAGTCTTACATCCCGATTACTCACTCTGGTCCCATTCTACACAGGCAATGCTTTGACACTATTTTTAGTCAGAAACTAGGAGTTTACTCAGAGTATTTTTTACTTTGTACTCTGTTTGATATGCAACAAGGTATTTCACTTGCAACTTAAGTTAACAGTAAATTTCTTACCCTAGTGTTCGCTTCTTCCAGTATTTTTCTTATAGCGCCAATGCTCAGTTGCTAAAAGTTTGTTTTTATTTAACAATTAGGTATACTTATAGACTTTCGGAAATATCTTTCTTACCACCATAACATTGTTCCATATCTTTTGAAATGCTTAAAGCTTGACGGCTAAAATCTTTGCACGTTCGGAACAGATCATTCTTTGCACGAGCCGCATTGAACTTATGTCTATAGTGACTTCATAAAGATATCATATGGGAACCCGTTCGTTAGCGAGATTTAGATATGATTAAGGTATGTTCCGTCCAGGATTGTGTTGGAGCACGCTGATCGGTCATTTCTTAACCAGAGCTAGCGGATACTTGGAGAAGACTCTAGAATCTCCTTGTGTAAAATTGTTAATATACCAACATTTTTATTATTGTGTTTTCTACTCCCATTCACCTTTGTTTATTTAAAATGTAATTACGTTCCTGTTCAACTATGTTCTGTTTTGGAGACTTGTCGAGTGAAATAAGAGTATCCGGGCCGTATTTAGAAAAACCATTATACCATTTGTAACTTTTATTGATAAACTGGAGACTTCAAATGTTGTTTTGACTTAAAAGTCCAGTGTGTTGTAAAGTGTACTTGGCTACCCGATTCTAAATTATCAACACTATAGTAAACGTAATGAATCAAGGCAGTTATTGAAAGCTGCAATTTGGATTCAACATTATGTGTCCAATATTATCGTTTCAGCATTCAAGTGGTAAGGAAACAAACCGGTTTAGGAAGAAGTACGTTTAGTACTAAAAAACAGCATTTTTTCAGACTAACTTCTTGACAATCAATAATTATAATCAGATAATCGCTGTGTAAAATGAACTTTTTTGATAAACCCATCTCAAAATTGGGAGAAATACATGATAACACTATCAAAATATGGTAGAATATCATGCTCAAGTAATAAATAACATATTTTTTCAAAACTACCAAATTCTAGTCAATTGCTGATCACATCTTACCAATCGATAACCTTAATCATTGCTTTTTATCATATAGAATCCTTAAAATGTAGCGAATCATTCAGAGTAATAGTTTCAAATGTTGAATCGAAAGTAAATTTAAAAAGAAGTAGATGGGGGATGTTATAGACACTTAGAAATAGACTGCGGCTTGTACATTTTCGGAGGATTTCGAATAAATTTAGTTAAGGTCTCTCGAACAATCCGCAATATTTTTCAGGTAAAAAACAGAAAACCTGTTGTTCTTCACACTTTTTAGCTGACATACTGGTAATATGGATGTCTCGTGTTGTAACTCATAATATGTAGGTGTTTCTCATAAAAATCTCACTAAATGGGCTTTAGTAGATATTCCTGTACGTGGTGTGGTGTATGTAAATCAGACAAATTCTTCAAACCAATTCGTTGAGTGATATTCCATTATTTACCAATCTGTGCAATCATTGCAGTTGAAAAACTTAATATGTAGTCATCAGCGATATTGTACGATAATCGCTCCGTATGCCCAATTTACTAATCTTCGACAATGTAAATTACGAAATCCTGATTTGGTGCCTTGAATAATAATGTTTTTGAGATCCTGGGACCCGTAGATTTTTGCTGACAAACAACTATATAACGGTCCAGAGTTTCATAATTATTAATATTTCCCCATTGGTGTCAATTCGTGTTTGAAGTAAGCGAATCCCTTTTTGTCCTATTACTCATCTTTAAATGTCTTTCTTAATACCTACTGATAAAAAATTCAACTTCAGGTTTACGAAAAACCTTTCTTCAAATAAACTTCATATGAGTTTATTAAGAGGTGTTTTGGAGCTGGAAACACTAGAATTAGAAGAAAATGCTTTAATGGAGCTTCTTGATCTTCCAACTTGGTTACTTTTACGTAAAGCACATTGTACAAATGTTGTAGCTAAAGTAAGTTCTCCATTTTATGTCACGAATAACAAATAAAACGTTCTTTTTAGATACACTGGACAAAGTTAAAAACTCATCCTGTTCTCATTGTAAGCATTCATATTAAACTCACATTTTATTATCATGGAAAATTACTCGTTGATCAAGAGTATCGATCATGTAAATATTGAGTTACAAGCGCTCGATGAACCACGTCAAGCTTCACAGTCGCCTATAGCTAATTATAGGTTTGTTTTTTGATAAAAACTGAATGAACGTTTCTATCCGTATCACAGAGGTGGATCTGGCAAATATGGGTTCAGTGATAAAGTAATTGATGGAGTTACTATTCAAGTGAACTCAGTGTTTATTGAGTTCTTCGCTCAAGCCTTTCAGGGCTCAGTTGAAGTATGTCTTCCTTAAAAGTGTTCTTTATAATTGAAAAATTATATTTTTCCATAGTAGTTTTCTGTATGTTATATGTTTCGAAGTATACTTAAAATAATATTCGTTATTTAGACATAGATCGATACATAGGTGTGAATGATGAAGAATTGACTGTAATTTTACATACATCCGTCGCTATCGCGTTACATAGCATATCATGATCATATGGCAAAAAACAAGTAGTGATATCATAGTCATGGTATTATAGGATGGTTGTTTGTTGGTTAAAGCACTTGACTCTAAACCACTTAGCTGCTCCTCAAGCCTGACCTCACCTCCTAACTCTCACACAACTGAAGTGTGACTCGAAGCTCAGTAAAAAAACCTGTATCTGTTATGCGAATTGATTCACATTAGGAGAATAATAATGAAAATCGATTTCAGTTTATAAATCCGCTTTGTATTGTGTCATCAAAGTATGATAAGTCTATTGATTTCTTCTATCCAAGCTAAGTGATCAAGACGTACACCATAAACTTTTGTTTTTTGTATTACTAACCGTTACGTCGCTCGCTGATGCACTCCAACCTATATTTAGCTCTCGAATTGAGTTGTGTTACTTTATTATCCACGTTATTTGTATCGCTGTGCACGAAAAGGTGGTTTTTAAGTAGTTTTAAATCCTGTTTCGAGGTTCCTTTTGTGATTTCGTTAAAGATTTCCGAAGTAAAAATTTATGTCCCCTGATTATTTTGATATCTGTATATGACCTTTTATTTTTTTGGAAGCTGTGTTCACCAGTGTGTATATTTTATGAACGAAATTTCGTTGTAAGTTGTCATTCTCTAATCTCTAATACCTATACTGTTGAGTTTATGGTTCCCTTATAATCATGTATAAGATATAAGGGGCTATGTTTAACTTCCTAGCTATGAGGTATGTGTGATGGTCAATAATACAATTATAGAACTAATTTCATCAGATTAAATCACTGCCTAAAGAACATAAAATCTAAGAGTAAAATATTTTTTAGGTGGGGGGATCTTGCTTATTGAATGATGTAGTTTGCTTCTATTGACCAAGACGGTTAAGGGACATGTTGTGCACAAATATCAGTCGTCTGTTTCAAACCCTAATAATAACTTTAATCATAAATGGCGTAGAACCTTGCGCATATGTATATCAGTTCACGTTACCACACCACATCAGCAAAATGAAATGAAATTGTCAAGATGAATACCAAGTTAGTAGAAGTTGTATTAGTATAGTAGTAGTATCAGTGATAGCATAAAACAGTACACGTGGAGGATAAAATTTAAGATGAACAAATGAATTCCAAGGGTAAAAATTATCCAATAGTTTTTGAAACTCAGTATCAAACGGGAGATAAAGAGTGAATCCATCTGCACCATTGCGACGAATTTAAAGCAATACAGCACAAAGTTTTTGTCTTTTATGACGATTACATGAGTCCTAACCAGGTAGCTTACACCTAACAACATAGCTCATATCAACTGTTAGTGTCTTTACAAACTAATTCTATGTTTTGTTTTAGCCGCCCTTAGATTTCTTCCAACCTACCCCTACCCCAGCCAACATAACCTTTTTACTTAGGCTGCTGTTAGAGTCATAAAATATTTATTTATTTATTTGAACACATAAATATTGGAAAAAAGGGGTACCGAATACATATGCGCCACACAAGTCATTTGATTTGTGTGTGGACTGTGCTACTGCCCGGATGCCCACAAAGATGGTCAGGTCCTTTCCTTGGCACTTATCTAAGATCGATAGCACCCTCTCATAAAACGGATCTTTATCGTCTTCATTATTATCATTGGTGGGTGCATTGTATTGGATAACGTTTATTGTGATCCACTCCTTTGTTTTGAAAGATGCTTTAATTTTTATTTATTTATTATCTATTCAGACGTAAACGTTGGTACAATGAGGCATCACATAGATATGCACCACATAAATCATTCGATTTATGTGAGGGCTGGGATACTGCCCGGGTGTCCAAACCGAAGCAGGTGGCTTTCCTAGGGGGCCACAACCGGAGCCTTCGACCTAAAGGTCTGATCCATAAGGCAGTGGAGCAACATTAAGTGATAGTTTCATGGTAACCGGTGACCAACGATTGGTTCATGCGCCATTTGTTCCTTCAGGATCCTGGAGACAATGTGCACCATTAGTTTGGAATCAGGATTTTCTAACTTCCCTAGGTGGACTCTCCATGTCCACCAACTCGGTTAAAGCGCCGAATATCCGCTTTTCGTCCTCTCAGTTTCGTAAACAACACCGTTGCCACGAGAAGGCAGTGAGTAGGACTTACCTGACAGCGGTTGTATGCATGTGGCCATGTGAGAGCATTTCGAGAGGGATAGCTAACTCTCCCTACTCTCGGCCGTATCAGGGCATTTGGGGTTATAAGAAAATACTGAAGAGTTCAAACTGGTTAATCGAACATAGGAATTATGTTCCATGTTATCTAGACTGTTTAAACTAATAACTATTGTCAGAATCAAGACTTTCGTAGTCGAATATTGAGATGTATTTGAATCTAGTAACTTTCTACTTTATATAATTTTGTCAGTTTATTGTTTACACAGTGTCAATGTTTTCTACTTAATAATTTTATAGTCCACACTTTCGTTTTAAACTTTCATCTTCACTTCTACATATGTATGCCATTTAAACGAACGATATACACTCAACATATACTTGTTAAATTAATCAACGGGTTTTATTAATCAGTGAGTAACGCTTTGACGTTTAAAATAATTGGTATTGAGCTCTGTTCTCAGTGGGAAGACCAACGTTGGAATACAGATAGATTTAACTGACTTATTTTTATTAGAATGAAGCACACCTCAGTGATTACAATACTGTGCAAAAATATAGTAAACATAGTCATCATTGAGACATCTACATACGGACTCTTTATGTTAATGGAGAATAGTAGTTTTCAGTCCTTAATATCAACAATGGGGAACTACAAATACTTACAATTAGTTAGATATCCAGTAGGTTACTTTTAACGGAACGTGTAAACACACGTTTTTCTTTTATAAGCTGTCAATTTAATTATGCAAGAAACTAACTTTGGGAAGGATTACATACCATTTGTTTAGTCATAGTTTTGTCCATCAACCCTTTTTAGATATATATTTGCTGATGAAGCTGTTTTCATTCATAGTATAAACGAACCTGGGAGATTACAACTTGATGGCTACAACTCTTGACTTCGGGAAAGAGCCTTTCTACAAAACGCCCATACTTTTTCTCCATTTTGTTCTTTTTTTAATCCGAATTTTCGACTAATGACAGGTTCAACCTCAATTTGAGGAGTTATACACTGTCCCAGCTTGTTAGTTTGACTATACTTTTGAGCCATTGAGCTTATATACAGTATTAAGGTTGGTTTTAGTGTTTCATTGATCTGAAGTTTTAGATAGATTTTCCTAAGTGAAAAATCGATAAGAAATGACATTTTTAATCATTCTGCTGATCGCATATTACAGGACTAAACCATAAGCCATACCTACTGGGTGACGTTTATAAATTAGTGTCACGGCATTTGGAGTAGATTATAACAAATACAAATGATTATTCTGATTTCGTTACAAGAAAGTTTGATTTATGAAGGGAAAAATAAAGCCATTTATCACGATTTCATTAGACCCATTGGTGATCTTTCTTATAAATTCAAAATAAGGTGTATTCTATTTTATCTTTACAATATAAACTTAAACTGGCGCAGTTTCAAACAGAATACAGTTCGTTCTCTTGGAAGAAATGCGCCTCTAAAATCTCAACGAATGGGAAAATTTGATTGTTTGTAAACTGTATAATCTAACTGAACATTTCATGCTCGTTATTGTGCTCTGTTTCAACCATCTAATTGTGATGTGTACAAAGACTTTGTGGAAACATTTTGGTTAGTATCACAGGGTTTACTATTTCTGACTTGATGCTTCATAAATGAAGTAAATGTACCAGTAAACGAAATATGTAATCAGCAACTTTTCACACTTGATATGCAAATTCTTGTTAAAGTAAGGTGATCTGGATGCACTTATTACAAGCTTAGTTCCGAATAAGCAAAACAGTCTTCGATTGTTTTCATTACTGATTTGGGTAACAAAATCCACCAGTCGGCACTGATAATTTCAAATCTCTCATTTCATTCAGTACTAATGGATTTCGAGGATGTTCAACTTATTCACCCAATAATCTGACAAAATGGTCATTGACCACGTCATTTTAATTTCCAGAATAGTTGTAGATATGGGCAGAAACGAATCATTTCCCAGATTGTATCAGCCAACAAACTTAGACAGTACATTTTATTTTCTTCATTTGTGAAATAAATACAGTCTTCGCATAGTTTATTGCATCATTCCTTCAATTGGTTTCCTTTAGTTGTCCAGGTTTTGTGTGCTGAGTAAATCACCGAACTGGCAAAATTGTTTGTTAAATTTAAGCACTCTGACACTGCCACAATATGATTCCATATTGATATTCAAGGAAGTCTCTTGGGAATCGGCACGTATTGTGGCCGATGGTCTACTAACCGAACTACATGGTACACCAGTTAAACTTATAACAAATCAATCTCGTGTGCGTTTAACAATGAAAAAGCGGTTATCTGGTAAGCTTAATTACTTATTTTTGGATAAAGATATTACTTATACTTTAGTTATGGTCATTTGTTAAAACAAATACAGAATTTCGGAATTACCGACATTCTCGCGGCAACGTAAAAGTGTTCTTATTTTCGGCGATGCCGAGTTTTCTGAGCAAGATGGTTTAATTTCATTATGGCTCTGTACACTATCATTAGCGCTGATTTAAAGTAGAAGTGGATATCTTGACCGTTTCACATGTGTTAAGTTAGTTCATGCTGATGACCTCACTCCAAACGTGATGTCTTCATCTGTTTTTATATTTTTCTGTCTTTTGTTTGCCATTTCCTGTTGTTTTGTTGACCTCCGATCATGTAATTGGTTGACGTTTTCCGTATGAATTGACAATTTGGTTATATTTCATTTTGTTTAGACTCACATCTGTAGGTTAAAAATCAGGTCACCTAGTCAACTTCGTAAAAGCTTTTATCCGGTTACGAAAGTTAGGTCATAACAAACAGGTGTGATCTGTCAAAGGTTTCCAGCGAAATTACTCTGTTGATTGGCTGCAATTATTCGCCAATCGGATCGTGTAAAAAACAATTCATGCTAAATTTCAAGGCCTTTTTTGTAGAACACCCTTAATTATTGGCAGCACGGAAATATTTTTTCAATGCTTAAGAAATCTACACTAATTAATATGTATGTTTTGAACAATACAGTGCTCGTCACTCAAAATTGTCGAGAATCTTTTGTTACTAGAAACAGTCCCACGATTTTAAAGTGTCTATCGCTTTATTTGTACGAAAATACCACCTCTCATTCTTTTTTTCCGAAGATATAACTATTTTGTCGTCGTTTTGTTTCAATTTATTAACTCAATCTGATTGTATATCTGATTATTTGAACACCTGAAAGTTTTAAGCAAATAAGTCTGAATGATAGTTTCCAGTAACCTTCACTTTAGTTAATACATTGATAACCTAAAAGTGTAATTTATAATCTCTCACTTTTGACGCAGATTTTTCGCAGTTCCGAATTTAGTTTGTTTGAGTTTGGTCCTTCTTAAGAGCACGCTCGTTTTTGAATGCTTAAATGTTTCTGTGTTTCAACTCAATACTGACTTGTTGCGTGATCACTAAATATATAAAGATGGCAAACTGTGTAAGACGTGAAAAGTTTATTTATACTTATATCTCGATAACCATATTCACTTACACACTAACATAATGAAAACGAAATTTGTAGTCATAATGATGAATTTGCGAGGAGTGACCTTGATTAGGGTCATAGTTTAGTTAAGCTTCACAACTCCCGCATACATTTATCTGGTTTAACAAACAACCGTACCGTATAACATCATGTGACCTTACATGGCTATTTTGATATGTTTGTATTGTCACAAATTTCCTCAGGTGACATTTTGTATAAGTGACTGAAGTCCCATATTAGTGACTCAACAGTTGCGTTGCTACTTAAAATTTCTCTTTCTTTAATTCTTCTCGGTCAGGTGAGTTGTATGTATAACTCTAAACTACGTGTACAATGGTAGAACAGACTTTTGATTTTCGTTACTGTGAATAAGACTGTCATCTCACTTGCTTTTTAAGATGTTGCATGTTTGAATTGAAAATAGACTATCATTAATCGGTTGTACTATGTTCCATAGTATAATGATAAGACGAAATTGATTTAAAAAGTATGATTTATTTGCGTAATCCATTTTGAACAGTAGCCACACATTACATTTTCTTTGAAAACAACCAAAGGTCAAATAAAAAGTAATGATCATAGATAAAGTATGTAACATGTTATGTTTTAATACTGTAAGTGAATTAAGGTTTATCAGCTCTTGATGACACAAATATGTACCGACTCTATCTTTTCACATGTAAAATCAATACACCAGTAGCGAGAACATAAAATAAATGAATTTCCAGAATGTTAAATATAAAATGTTATGTCTGTAAATGTTTGAAGGAAGAATGAAAAATGATGCATTTAATTTATTACAATCAATTTTGAATAATATGGTCTGCAATCATAACTGGGAATTATCTCGTTTATCCCAACCAAGGAGTTCTCACTTCCATAGATGTTTCAAGTGAACAGGTAATAACTTTTTGAACTGAAACCATATATTGGTCTGGTAACTTTTTAAACTCTCCTAAACCTATTTTCAAATTAATTAGCATAGATAGGCGATGACTGATAGTCTAAAAAACTTGTCGCAGTGGATTTTTGGTTCGAGCTATACTTAAAATGTTGCTTGTAAGATCTGTCAGAAGGTTTACCGAATGGATGATCCTAAACAAGAATACGTAAACGGTTGCCTAGTCTCGGCGAGTAACTCAATTACTAAAGTTCACCAACAGTTGCATCTTGTCTACGATGTGGGATTCAGGCAGCGTGTGATCTGCTCTAGCTTGTGAGGTATATCGATTACGAGATTCAGTGTGAATCATCTACGAAATTAAAGTCTAAGTGCTCGGTTTTAGGCCATAATTTTGGAAATTGAGGGTAATCAGTACTACCCAGTAACCTAAACCGAAATATATAGGGTCTGGGTTTAAACCTAAGAAAGTTGAGTTTTTTTTACCGCTGAGTCACCGCGGCCTCGACGACCGTACATATAATCGAACCAATGAACTTTCAGGTTTCATGGCTTACACTATACCACCGAATCATTCAAAGTTCCGGAATCTCAGGATTTTTCGGTTGGATCTACTTTGTGGCGGAAAGTAGGGAGAGTCAGCTATCCCTCTCGAAATGCTCTCACATGGTCACATGCATACAACCGCTGTCAGGTAAGTCCTACTCACTGCCTTCTCGTGGCAACGGTGTTGTTTACGAAACTGAGAGGACGAAAAGCGGATATTCGGCGCTTTAACCGAGTTGGTGGACATGGAGAGTCCACCTAGGGAAGTTAGAAAATCCTGATTCCAAACTAATGGTGCACATTGTCTCCAGGATCCTGAAGGAACAAATGGCGCATGAATCAATCGTTGGTCACCGGTTACCATGAAACTGTATCACTTAATGTTGCTCCACTGCCTTATGGATCAGACCTTTAGGTCGAAGGCTCCGGTTGTGGCCCCCTAGGAAAGCCACCTGCTTCGGTTTGGACACCCGGGCAGTATCCCAGCCCTCACATAAATCGAATGATTTATGTGGTGCATATCTATGTGATACCTCCTTGTACCAATATTTATGTGTTTAAATAAATTAATGTACAGTTGTCTACTTTAATAACAAATGTGTTTTTTGTTTATCCTAATGAGCTTTCTAAACGTTTTTTATAATCCTAGTTGAAATTATGTAAAACTGTCAGTCATCTCATCTACACCGTTATAATTTAGATAAGAATCACGTGATCGTAATTTACACTTAACTCGCCATATGATCAATATCAATTTGTTGGAATGATTCAGATCTTACTAATGTGGAGGTTAACTAAGCTAAAAAATATCAAGGTTGTACTTGATAGTTTAAAATACATTTAGCATTGCGTAAAAAGTTAATACCAAATATTTTTTTCGTTATATCCCAATGAGTAGAATATTTAATTTTTGACTTCTTGTGATTTAATGTAAGCCACTTCTTCAGAGTAAACAAGTAACGGAAATAAAATTAACACATTTTATTTTATTTTAGCAGTTTTACATAAAAAACGTTTAGAAAGCGTCGAATCGGAAACTAATCAAACGATAATCATCCTATATCATAAATCCTTAGAAGACAGATAAAGGTAGCTGATTGATTAATAATCCGATATGTCCAGTGACAGTACTCACAATACAATGTGAATTATCATGGATTTAAATCCGTTAACAACTAATAAAATAATGTTATATTTATGATAACCAAATGAGTGGAAATTAGAATCCCTAACATTTTGCTCCTCTGAATATACGCATTTACAATGCAGTCCTTCGTAGGAATTTCATACGATAATAGCGATCCTCTCAAGTACTTCATAATGTCGAAGATGATTCCATATGGTTTTCCTGTCGATACTGTCAAATGCTTTCTCCGTCCATTGTCTTGTTTTATACTGGAACTTGTAGTAGTGTGAAGCCTCTTTAGTTCTCACATATGCTAAGATCTCCCTACTTTGGCATCTCAGGGAGTTATCCTTTTCTTCAGTCTGTCGGTACTTTTTCTTCCCAAATTTTCCTGAAAAGGACGTGAGAAATCTTTTTAGATCTGACTTCAGTGCTTCAGCTGGTATGCTATCTGGTCCTGTTGTATTGCCACTATTGATTTGTCTGATGGCCTTGCCGATTTCTTCGATTGTTGGTGGGGTAAGATTTATAGGAAGGTCTGAGTGTAATGTTTTGATGTCCAGTGGGTTCAGTAAGGCTGGTCTATTCTACCTACCTGCACCACTGCTCTTGAACCTCACTGATCGATCTCCCTTTGTTCATGAATAATATCTTGACTACCGGATTCCTCTGAAAGCCTCTTAGTTGTATTTTACAGTTCTCTCATATTTCATTCAATCACATCTTGTTATGCTGTAGTTGCCGGGTATCCTACATATTTCCGCTTGCCAGCTCTAATGCTCTTATTCACTCATTTTTTGCTTGTATATATTCGGCCTATGGCCTGGCGTTCTCTGCTATTTTCGTTTGTTGTTAATTGCTGTCTAATTGTTTCCCTTTCTCGAATCCTAGTCAAACTGTCTACGGAGAATCATTCTTTACTTTTGTGTTTTTTGGGCCAATCATCTCGGGACATATTGAAATTATCGCTTCTTTAATCCCTTTCAAGTTGCTCTCCAATGTTTTCGATTTCTTCTAGTAGATCTTTTAAGACTTGAAATCTGTTACTGAAAGCTATGTTGTGAACTCATTTAGCTTGCTAGCATGCCAAAGAAAAGCTTTCTCTTTGTTCTTATATCTTTCATTCACCTTTCAAATTTTTCATCCGTGCAAACGTAATCGATTTGGTTCTCTATAGTGTGGTCCAGTGAATCCTATGTATTTTTGTGTGTGTTAGTGGGGCATAATGGTTCTACCTATAACCGTGTTGTTGTAAAACACAATATCTCTAAGAAAGACTGTGTTGAACTTTAGTAATACTGTCTTTCCAGTGTTTCTTTAGCCTCAGTTTCATCCTGGCCACAATCAGATGCTGATCTGAAGGTATGTCAGCTCCTCTCCTGGTTCTCACATCTCCCATTGACCTCGTGAAATTTTTCGCTGACGCAAATATGATCTATCCGGTTCAGTAGCCCTGGGATCTGAGGAATCCCATACCTGGACAAAGAGGCCTTCCAGTGTCTTCAGGTTTTCAATGGTGGTCCAACATTGATCCTATCTATTTGTTTTAAGATGAATTATTTGATTAGAGTTTACGATGATGCAACAAACAATATCTCAGTTTACTTTTTTGAACCAATTGTTAGTTAAAACACAATTGGCTCAAATAGCCATTTTGAACCTGCCATTTATTACATCTGACTGCTGTGTGATACTTGTTGTTATCTTATCACCTTGGACGTAAGCTTAGCTTAAACTAATTAAAATTTATTGTTGGACGATATATTATTTATATATACTTATAGATAAATATTTTCAGATAGCCAAGACTTTGGGTGTGTTATTTGAGTGAACTCAACCGTCATCTAAGTAAATTTGACAGCTTCTGTGGACTACACATAAGTCATTTCAACAAGCATCAATGCCGTTATGTAACAGTTCTATCTGATTAACAATCCAAAGTCCAAGTCCTGAAACTTTTAGCAATACATATATTCGTCTTAAACGTGGTTATTCATTGTGATCATTTATTTCAACTAATATCTGTCAAATACGATGAAGGAAATTCATATACACATTTGTGCATTTTATTTAATGTGATCAAAATGTATTTAATTGTATTACTCATGTTTTGTTTTTCTTTCAAAATTTGGGATTATAACACTTAGTCACATTAAATAGTTCAGTTATGAAAATCTAATTAGTGTAATTAATATAATAAGTAGAATAAATAATTTTACCGAAGGTTTTATGATTATCATTCTTAAATAAGTGTTTTGTTGTACATGGAAAAATAAAGAATAATTTTGTGTTCAAAATGTAATCCACTTTTCTTCAACAAAACTGACTTATAATGAATCAAAGACCAAACACAAACAATGTGGACGGTAAGTGGTTTTCTGTGATGGAAGCAAATTCAATCTATAAGTTGAAATAAAGGGAAAATAATAATAAACAATTTGATTTTTTTTATAAGTTTCTGAAATGAGACAATAATGCAAGGACATCAAATATTTGTTGTAAAAATGAGAAATAGAAATAAACAAAATAGAAACAGAATGCTGTAGTCAGAAATAGATAAGATTAGAGATATGTAAAATAAAAACAATGGTATTTAACAAAATACCGATTAAATTAATGCTATTGGGTGGTTTGTAGAGAAAAAGCTCAATTTGAAGATAACTTTTGCCTTGTTCTAACATAATCTAGAGAACTACTGAAGGACGAGAACCAGACAGCGGTTGCGTATGCATTTAAACATCCACAACAGCGAGTTTCTGTTACCACAACACGTGTTGAACTCACATCATGAACTTCGGGAGTTTATTTCGAAGTTATCACTACAATATTGTGTAGTTGAGTAGTTTCTGCAATTTATGTCAATACATAAGAGTAATTTTCATCACAAGATTACATCAGTCGGTAAACAGTTACGAAATTCTAAAGTAGTCCACTAAATGAGTACAGGTTTTCAATCACTTTATCGTTATCTCGGTCAGCATTCTGATTGATTAACACATCAATACCAAAAGAATAAGGTTAATTATTAACGAAAGGATCTCAGCCAAGATGCTCAACAAGCAGCACATAGTGGGATGGAGACTTGACTGTACAGTTTGACGACCTATAAACAAGGATTGACATCAAACTTGATAAAATATGACAGATACTTATGAACAATGATTATTTACTTACGTTCATTGATAGAAATCTGAAGCCAGAAAAACAATGTGAAAGAATGTCTGTAGGGCCAATGGAGATCATTTTTATGAACATTCGGTTTAAGAGTGATATTGTAAGAAAAAGTCTGAAAAACAAACTACCCAAATCTCCGAGAAAAACAATCTATCCGGCTGAACTTGTATTGTCTTCTGTAGTCGGCTTTTGACTCGTAGTTGTATGAAGCACAAGCTTCCGCTTTAGGACGAATCAGTGTACATCTATCAGTCTAATTGCTGTTTTGGAGCAGGTTATGTTGACCGTAAAAAGCGAACCCTATTGAAATGCACCTCGAAATATTTCCCGGCTTGACTATCAAAAGGACTGCATAAGTTAGTCAATAGTTCAATCTCGGGACACCTCGTTAATTCGGGTCAAGCTGCTTCACTAGAATCCTCCAAACTCATCGATATATTTGAGAGAATTGGTTGTATCTTTCCCCTTCCGTGCCCATTTGACTGACGCTTCTGGTCTCCCACACTGCCCGGATATCCCAAGTCAGAAGGGTCGTCGGCCTCGCAGCTTCTGAAGGATGTCGGCTCTCATTATGAGACGTCATAACTCTTTTGTATGAAGACCCTTCAACTTCCATGGCTGAGTTTGGATGAATTAATTGATTCATTCTGGTTAGGGAGGTTCTTTCCTACAAGGGGGTTTGCTAATTCTATCGAGGCTTGTAACCGGGTTTAACCCAGAGGGGTCCAGATGAAGTTACTTGATGGTTAGTGTTAAGTAAAAAGAATCATGTCATTCAAGTGGCTATAAACATAGTTGAAGCTTAAGAACTTCGTAGAGACATTGCTGAGATAAATGTAACTATTTCTGAGTTTGATGAATTTCGTTAAGAAATAATATAAACACAATCTTTGGAATTTACTTCCACTTTTGTGCGTGTGTGGTGGGGCTTCACCGGTAAATTATTGACCTTAGACAACACTTTTCGTGATTATTCAATTAATCATAGCGCGTGTTACCTTTAGTACATTGATGAAACGATATCTTTGCAGTGTATGACTAAAAAAACTTATTTTCTGCACATATTCTAAGTATTTTTGTTCCCTACTTCCTTCACCCTATCCACGTAGATGGGTCACTGATCAGTTCACGTATTCGTCTTATACTAGACGATATACTTTGGGTATTCACATTATCTCAAGTTGAAGCAGCCATTGTATTTGCACGTTCTTTAGAACATTCAATACGTTTAGCCAATGAACAGAATAAACGATTCGCAGCAGAGAAAGCCAAGGTTAGTATGTAAAATGCAGTGTGTTTAAAAATTAATTAATTTTTTTTAACTCGCAGTTTATTCCGATTGCCTTAATTGACTGTTATTATTACTGAGTTTAGGAAACCAGGTTCTATGATAGACTCGTGTTCGGTTAACAGTTAAAGTGAGCGATCTTGTGGGCACAGATGAAGTTTACAACAGAGAAAACTGAACAGAACAGCATGAGATAAAACTCATTAAAATAATCTAAGATTATCTATGTTCAGAGCCACAATTTAGCGTCCAACTTAATGAAACAAGTCCTACTTGATAATTATTGGATTGTCACTAACTAATGGAACATTTAAATACACTGAACAATTAATCAGTAATTGTTTGTAGAGATATAATATTATGAATACATGTTATATAAATGTAAACTGGATTATCATGAATCGAATCTCCTATCTGTTTATTTACCAAACTGGACTAATACTGAATTTATATATATACCCATGTACCAGCCAGCATTGTGTATCAGGGTGGGCGGTGATTATGAGATATGCTTAATATCTCTTCAATCGATTCAGGTTTGTACACATCTTATCAATATTCTATCCCCTTTAAAAATCTCTTTTCTACTTTATTTAAACTCAAGTGTCATTTACAGAATTTATGTATACAACTATTTCCCTTTGCAATTTGATATTACAATATGATTACTTAAGCTGTAACTGTATTTCATCTTGCTAACTTTTAGCTGAAAATCTACTTTTTTCAACCATTAAGATAACAATCCATCCAACAACTAAAGTTGTGGAATTATTGCTCTCCACATTTATCGATTTCAGCACAAATATAACAATATTGGTAACTATTAACCGTTTGCCTCGATTGTTGTTTTGCCCTTATTCAAATTCATAAAGGGAACCAATTGTATAATATTAACCTTCTGCTAAGTAATCAAAATATAATTGATAAATATTAAAACAAATGTTAACGTAATAAGGATAGACATTGTGTTTTTCTCTTTTTTATATCACAGTACCACATTGAACAAGAGCAACGAAATACGTAAAATAGTTATCATTAGCAGTTTGAAATTCCCCATAGAATATTCAAAAATAAAGAATATTTGAGCGAACAATTATTTTCAATAACTTTATCATCAGACTCTACAGTTATAAGTCCATAATTATGATATTTTATAAAGGCCAAATTAAGGCAGTTGTTAATAAATTTAAGAATGTTATATGTTAAAAATGGTCAACGTTTGCATCTGTTACTACATAAGTACTTCAAAATTGAGTTATTTGTAAATTAGATAGGTCATGTAATTAGATTTCGAACAAAGTTATTATAATGAAAAGTTTGCAAATGAGTAAAGATTATGATTTACTTGTACTACATAGTACAAATAATGTAGAAGAGTACTAGATCATAAACGAGCCAATGATGCTTCAATTCTAACTGTCCTGTTATAATGAACGAGAATACATGTGGGGACAATCAATGTATTTTAACACAAAATTACAAAGTATCTTGGCAAAATATAAGAACTATACATAAAATACTTCATTTGCAAATATCTCATCAACTGTTCTTTACATTCTGTATGATTGTTCCAATTCACAATTCCTTCATATTTCCCTTTCTGTTTTCTTTAATTCGATCTTATTAGCTTTCTGTTGTCATGCATTTCACTTCTGATTGATGTTACATATCACTTATGTCTGTCGACATAAGTAGCATACACCACAGTGTTATTAATCAGTACAGGTATTTTATTGAGAAACTTATTGGTCTAATAAATTATTCTTATTGTTATAATAAGTAGTGTCCTTAAGCTTCTTGACCTTTTTCCTTGTTTCTTTTAATTTAGCGACAAACCGTCACTTTGGTTTCATCATCAGAAACTCAGTCTTTGGTGAATAATAGTTGCAATAACAATAATAATGATAGTAATTCCAACTATACTACTAATAGTAATATTTACCCCACGGTAGTTGTACGAAATACCAAATGTACAGGGGATTATGCAAATGCTGTGAATATGTTTCATCAATATGATGTTTTGGAAACATCCTATCATTTGATTGTTAGTCGGACAGAATTGCACTTTTGTGATGAAACTAAAGAAAGTTAGTAAATTAATTTTTATTGAATTAGTTGTAAGTTACTCCTTTAACCGCTTGTCATTACGTAAAAACACGATGTGTGTACCACCTGTATAGAATTGGGTTAAGAAATTTGACTTTTGACCTGTCTTATAAAGGTTTTAAGTGTTACCTGATTTTATTTGTTTTTGGTAGTCGTGCAGAGCTGCAGTCCTCTTCATAAACAGTGTAGCTCAAAGTTAAATGCGCAACCATATATTTGAATATTGAATTTTGGTAATTAGGCCGCATAACTAAAATTGTATACACTAGTATTTGTTAAGTTTTTGCATAGCCATAATTTTTTGACGCATAATTATGATAATTATTATTTATTCTCAATTTTTCCATTTGTTTTGTTTATTTTTAAACCTTAGTTTTCATTTATTATCTCTGGTGTTACTCGATACCGCGAGTTTACCCTGATATTTTCTGCAGTTATGAAGCTTGACCTAACTGTATTTGAAAGAATTGTGTACTATTTCTAGATAAAGGTTAAGCAGCTCGTTTGTATGTGCAGCTTGTGCATAAATAACCTAAAAAAACATGTAACGAAACAACATAATAATAGATTTAACGAAAGTTATCGCAAGACAGCACTTTTGGAGAAGTCTGGACGTGGAAAATTAGGAATTTCAATCGTAAAACTTAGAAAACAAAATTTTTGCGGTATTCCTAACAGAATAAATGCAATTCCTCTAGGGGTTTTTTATTCGATATGTAAACTTATTAGTTGGTATCAGAAAGTACTGAGCCATGTTGGTAGGTATCGACTACCTGGTTGGGATTCACGAGATGATAGCAACCGATGGTTAGAGACCTTGAATGACATGGCTCAAAATCGTTTGCAATGGCGCTGGTGCAACCACTCTTTGTGTCCTCCCAAATTTTAATCTTCTGAATTCTTCATGTCCCTTATTTTTCTCTTTCCAAATTTATTTTACTGGATTATACTCCTTGAATAACGTCTTCAAACCCTAGTCTTTCCGATTACGGCTTATACTCTTACTACCTCTACCACTCCGGGATTTGAATCGACAACTGCATCTCTGTGCTAATGTTGTATGGCAACTCGAACTGATGTACGTACGTACGAATTTATACGTTGTTACTGACTAACTAGTATCAGAAAGACAATCTTATTTCTAAGCTTCACAATCATTTGGTATTTTTCAGTTTTTATTAGTAAAATGTTGACTAAATCATGTGAAACCAGGCACTCAATGTGCAGCCGTTTAGATCAAAAACCAGATATCAATAATATAAAAGGTGAAGAATAAAAGTCGACTACAGTATAAAGTAACCTTTTATACATGTAACTCAGAAGAGTATGTCATTCTATACTAACTAGCCAGTCGTATATAAACTTGACCGGATATATCTTAAGAAATTCGAAAGCCTGGATATGACTCAACATTTCTTCCTATTCGGTACGCATGTGCAGGTATTTCATGAGAGCATAATGGAGCAAGTTACAGTGTTGGTGTGAATGATGATCCTAGTAGACTACTAATTATTAACTGATGTTGTGTTTGTTCAATCCTCAGCTGTAGTCAGATTCTGAAAATCAAAATGACATGTATTTTATTGATACGATATTATGTGGATTCTGTTTTGATGTTACGTAGGTCACAAAGGTTTCAAATCTCACGGAAGCGTCAATCTGGTCAAAATTACAGGTATGTCTTGCGTACATGCTCCAACCAGGATGAAACTTACATTCCAGAATTTTCTATAGATTGGTGCAAACCATGTAACACTAAATTGTTAATCTCGTCATTGAAGTACCATTTCTATAAAATTTAATTATATTGCTTCCCCAGAATCATAATTTTTAATACTTCAAACTGTTATTATTCGTTCAGTTTTTTATTTATCATAAATTAGCCAGATTTTCATTTATTTTACTTTCTTCTTAGAAATTCGACTCAATCCAAACATTGTGCCGAATGGATCGATGCGAGTTAATTTAACCACATTATCTGTAGATTGGTATCCATATCATTTAGAATGTACGTTCATTTTCCTTTGTTTTTTTAATTTTTACATTACACTATTGCCTTAAAATTACCTATTTTTGTGTTTGGTTGAAATTATATCTTGTTTTCGTGATTTTTCGATGAAGTTAACATAATAACAATGCATTGTTTTTGTAGATAAATTGTGAGAAAGGGAGAGGATAATTTATAATCTGGTTTAGTAATATTTCATTTGTAGCTTCATACTTCTCGATGTTTTACTGAATGAATATCTGTAAAATAAGGAAAAAACCGGTGATATTGCTATACATATGAAAGATTTGAATGTTCGGGGGAAAATCTACTTACAACTATATGGTGCATAACTTTTAAAATATAAAAAGTTGATCTAACTGTTACCACGTTATATTAGCATACCAACATGCAGCAATGATGCGAGTGTGAAACAACGGCTTGTTGGCCAATACATTTAGTCTTCAATCGATAGGTCACAGATTTGAGTTCCATCTCACTTAATTCCGTTTGGGCAGTCGGATATTACAATTTTCTCTTGCACACCTAGAGTGTGACCCGAAGTCGAGTACATTAGTCTGTACTTGGTGAATGGTTAACAATAAATGTAAAAAAAAGTCACAAAAAATAGCAATATCAGTAATAGTATAAGAATTAAATTAGTGAGGATATTAGAGTAAGCTTACAGAATTCGGAGGTAATTAATATATAATAAACAAAATGTGATAGAATTTATATGTAGATAGATCACTGTCTAGTGTGATAACACAGGATGAAGATGTACGAATAAGTCTACAACTTCTGTTATCTCAATAATCTCAGACTATAATAATCAATTTTATAATATCACCAGCTTTCACCTATTAGCTATAAATTATTTCATTATCATTACCTTGATTTTATAAATTTTCAACCAACTCTTAGACTAGGTAATGTTCAGCGAAATCTTAGTTGATGTTCAACCTTTTGATTTTAGGCTCAAAATTTCATTTAACAGTTAATTAACTGTCGTACTCACACACAAGTGTATCACAACAGAGAGTACACAAACCTGAATTACGGTAACAGATAAATGTAACTTAAAAATTCTCATAGAATATTTAAAAACAAAGTATATTTTTCCAATAATTCCATCTTTCAAATCAATGCTTATGAATTCATAATTATTATAATACATTAGTCAGTATAAGGCGCATGCATGATAGAGCAAGTGTCATATATTCATCGTAGTCAATTTCACTTCAGTTGAGGTTTGAGTATATGCCAAATTTTAGAATTTACTGCCTTAGTTCTTGCATAATCTTTCAACCTTGCGCATTACATGTTGGCTACGTATTTGAATACAAATCCATCTCCATTCTTTTCAACTTTTAACACTGGCTGATCCAATCATAACTCGGCTCTGTGTATGTCACTGTCATAAAATAATCATGTATTAATAACTTTGAAATCGGAAGATAAAATGGAGGTTATGGAAAATTGTTTACTGAACTATAAGATATTTCAACTAAGTGAACTAGTTATTAATTCGACCAATTAAATAGCAAACATATCATTGGTAACTACTTTATTAGCTATTTCTTTCCTTATACAAAATCTAGTATATGATAATAACTACACCTTTTTCAACATTCAATAAAAGCACAATATCTAACATTTTAAAGCACTTCTGCATTCATTTTGTAAGTCAGTGCGGCGATATAAAAGCAAGAAATTTAACCGAAGATTTAATACCAATCATCTAAAGCTATCTGCATATACTTTCTATGAACAGGACACTGTAGTGCATCCCAACTTGCCGGATGTAAAAAACAAATAAAGCGCAAGTTAGAGCTTAAAATTAATTCTCCTATGAAAATTATTCTCTTAATTCCTGCATTCACGGTAAAGCACTTCTGCATTCATTTTGTAAGTCAGTGCGGCGATATAAAAGCAAGAAATTTAACCGAAGATTTAATACCAATCATCTAAAGCTATCTGCATATACTTTCTATGAACAGGACACTGTAGTGCATCCCAACTTGCCGGATGTAAAAAACAAATAAAGCGCAAGTTAGAGCTTAAAATTAATTCTCCTATGAAAATTATTCTCTTAATTCCTGCATTCACGGTAAACCGATAGATATTGCATACATTGAGAAGCATATGTGTCACGATTTCACGGACAGGTATCCTATTGCAATTTAGTCTATTTCGAAATATTTTACTGAGTTTCGTCTTTGTTTTATGCTTTAAAGTTTCACCAGAATTACCTTGGCCTGGTTGTCGAGAATTCTACAATGCACGTGATAATTGGTTAAGAGGTATTAATCCTATTCATTTTACCTATGGTGGTCGTAGAGTATTCCGTACAAATTCTCCAACTGTTTCTACTAATAATCAATTTGTTATATTGGATTGTGGTTTATTGCAGACAGTGAATACATCAATTTTACAAAGTGTTGGTATTCTACGATTAGTTGATATCACTGTATCATGTGTATCTTATCCGAATTCTGTGTTGAAACCGGGCGATCCATCTACATTGTTTTCAAAATCTCCACAAATCAATAAAACATTTCGCGATAATAACAATAATGCACGTATAAAAGCAGAAATTCCAATTGATAAGAATATTTTCATTGGATCAGATAAATTGTTACATAATCTACCTGATACATCATCATTTCTTACCATTGAATTTAAAAATCATTATTGTGTAGATGATACACTAAGCTCAAGTGCATCAAATCAATGTAAGTTTTCAAGTTATTGTTGTACAGATGTGTTTTGCTTTCAAATTATCGACTGGGTATTGATGCAAAATGTAGTACTTCCCAAAAATTCGACTAGGATTAGTCGAAAAGAGTTTTTAATAGCCACCATTTGGTTTTTTTTAATCGCTCCCGTATTCTCAGACCATGCTCCCTAAAACGGAACCCACTTGCTCCTCCTCACTATATATCGTAAATTGGTTGAAGTTGGAAACATGGATCGCTATATTCCAAACTAGTAGTAGCGTAAAGGATTTGTTCTCATTGTGAGACCTTTATTTTTATAAACATAGAATCAGATTAGTTATGACTTGTGAGAATTCAGTTGGTCAATAAACTTATGTCTGATTTCAATTCGAAAAGTCGGCTTCTGTTGAGTGGATAGACTAACTATGGCTATATATTTATACGAATTACGCTTTCATTCAAATTTTGAACTTGTTACATTTTCCTATTATGAATTTTGAATCTGTTTTGTCGATTTTTCGCACCATTCTGATGAAGGCTATTCCCTTTTATGTTACACACAATTACTATCGTATCCTGAAATAACAGTTCACAGGCAATTTAACCAATTTTGTGGATGATTCTAGTCCCTTTATTTGTCATTGTGATATTTATATCATTTAAAGAATAATTGTATATTCGAACAAACGGTTTTACTAAGTTTAGTTATTCAGTTAAGTCTGAGAAAAAAGTATAACCAATTACATCTGTGCATCATTTCAAGTTACCATAGTTTTACTACATTGTGTGGTTTTATAATGTCATCTGTATTTATTTTAATTCAGTAAATAATTAAAGCTTTCTGTAATCAGCTTCAAGCCACATTTTTTCGATAGAGGCTAACGATGCTAGCTGGTTACCGAAGTCTAAGTTGAGGCATGTGGATGTGAGCTATCATTTTTGTGGTTGTTTACGAAAATGACAGGACAAAAAGCGAACGTCCGGCACTTTAACCGGATCCAAAACCAATGGTGCACATGGGCTCCTGTACCCTGAAGGAACAAATAGCGTATGAACCAATCGTTGGTCACCGACTACCATGAAACTGCATCTCCTAATGTTGCTCCACTGCCTTATGGATCAGACCTTTAGGTCGAAGGCTCCGGGTGTGGCCCACTAAGAAAACCACCTGCTTCGGTTTGGACACCCGGGCAGTATCACAGCTCTCATACAAATCAAATGAGATTTGTGTGGCGCATATGTATTTGGTGCCTCCTTGTACCAATACCTATGTGTTAAAATAATTTATTATTTATTAAAATAAAAATAAAATTTGTGGTTGATAGCCGAGTGCATTTGCAATCGGTCCATTTCATCACACAAAAAGAAGGATTGGGTTATTGATCAAAGGGCTCAAGTGCTAACCAATTGTTCACAAATAAGAGCCCGGCCGTTGTTGCTACCTTGACGTGGTGGTCGGGCTTGCCTATCGTGATGAAGCAACTGAGCTATACTGGCTGGAAGAACCGTTCCTCAAGGTCCTACAGTGCCAGACAGGTCGGTTGAAGAGCGGTAAGACTAAAAGCAACAAAACCAAGGTCCGAAGGCGAAGTCGTACTGCTGACTGTACAGAGGTGTGACAGCAGTAAGGTGTTTCCTTCAGACAACCAGCATGACAGCGATGCTGCCCTCCCACAAGGAGGGGTGGGGTTAGAAAAGGTCGACCCTAAAAATGCACACCTCGCCTTATCCCACGGATATCCGTCTCCGGCGATAAGGACTCGACAAGTACGGAGCTAACACAAAAATCACTCATAGAAAGGTCGTGTGTGACCGACCTCAAGCAGCTGTCCTTTGGGCACTGCGGTCACGCTCTCAGGTCACTATGACCAACTCTAATCCAATTTACTTTTCAGGTACCTCCAGAAGAACCCTTCCACGGTGTGGGCAACCGGGAAGTGATAACCGCCCTCATACCTCTAACAGCACTCAAGACCACTGTATTCATAATCAACCTCCCTCTTCAATTCCTATTATTCCTCCTACATCGACTTTATACACTAAACTTCCTCTTTTAGCGTCCTCTTCAAGTGTCACCACAGCCAACGATTCTAGTGCTCAAAACACTGTCCCAGGTCTACTGAAACCTCGCTCCAAACTATACATTGGAGCCTTCAACGTACGCACACTATGCCAAATCGGTCAGCAGGCTTCCTTGGCTAAAACCTTAGAATCTCGTACCATTGATGTATGCTGTGTCTCCGAAACACGCATACAGGATCCTAGTGTGGTCATTCACTTGACCTCACCTCGGCAAAGCGGAGAGCCGACGAGATACACCCTCCGTGTATCTGGCGACCCGATGGCTAGTTCTCGTGGACTGGCAGGTGTAGGCATAGCACTTAGCATGAGGGCGGAACAGGCGCTATTAGAGTGGATCCCCGTTAACAGTCGTCTATGCGCTGTTCGGCTAAACGGCTCCGTAAGAACTCGGAAGGATAGGGACACACGTCGTTGCCTTTTCGTCGTTTCTGCCTACGCTCCCACTGACTGCAGTTCGGATGAAGTGAAAGATGAATTTTACAGAAAGCTGTCTGAACTTCTTCAGAATGCTAAACGTTCAGACATAGTACTCGTAGGAGGTGACTTTAATGCCCAGGTAGGTAGCTTAAACAAAACAGAAATACATTTAGGTGGGTATTTTAGTATTCCAGCACAGCGAACAGATAATGGTGATCGTCTGCTGCAACTGTGCTCAGACAATCGTTTATTTTTAGCAAACACAAATTTTAAGCATAAGGAGAGACATCGTCTAACATGGCGACCCCCTGCACCAAACCAACGATGGACTCAAATAGACCATATTGCCATCAGTCATCGTTGGAGAGGGTCAATAGAAGATTGTCGCTCATTCTGGGGTACCTGCTTGGACTCTGATCATGCCCTAGTACGAGCACGCATCTGCTTGCGCCTCACTGGACGCAGAAGAGCCACACAAAAAAGACTCATTAGAACCGAATTGAGTAATGAGAAAGCCAAAAGTAGGTTCCAGGAACAACTGAGGTCACACTTAGGTAGTTCTGAAAACGAGACTGACCCAGATGTTGCTTGGAAAGTTATACAAGCAGCTGTGGAAACAGCAGTGACATCTACCAGTGATTTAAACCAAATGGTTACAAAAAACCAATGGATTTCTTCAAGGTCTATTGCACTGATAGATTCTCGCAAACTCATCCCATCAGGTTTTGAATACGATGAAGAGCGTAAAGAAATCAAATCTAGATTAAACAAAAGTCTAAGGAATGATCGTGAGCAGTGGTGGGCAACGAAAGCAAAAGAGATGGAAAAGGCGGCGGCTATAGGGAACACAAGACAACTCTACAGACTAATAAAAGAAACTGGAATTAATAAATCAAGTGTAAGTCAGACCATTTCGGAAAAAGACGACACTCTCATCTGCTCCCAGTCCAGACGCTTAGAACGATGGGCGGAACACTTTAAGGAGCAGTTTAGCTGGCCTTCAGCTACTCTACAACTACCCTCTATTCCCAGACAGTGTGAATGGAACATTGAAGTAGGTCCCCCAACTCTAGCTGAAGTTCAAAAGGCTATAGCTAATCTGAAACGAGGAAGGGCAGCTGGTCCAGATGGATTGGCCCCAGAGGTCTTTAAGGATGGTGGTCTAGTCTTAGCGATCAGGTTGACTAATATTTTAGCTAAGATCTGGGAGTTAGACGTTATCCCATCTAACTGGTCACAATCACTTATCGTCCCTATATATAAGAAAGGGTCAAAATCATCCTGCGACAACCACAGAGGGATTAGTTTGACTAATATAGTATCTAAAATACTAGCTTCGATAATTTTCGGACGCCTAACTAAGACTAGTGAACTGCAAACACGTAAAAATCAGGCTGGTTTCAGACCTGGTCGTGGCTGCATCGACCACATATTCACCATTCGTCAGGTCCTAGAACACAGGCATACTTATCGGCGTCCGACAATTGTGGTATTCCTTGACTTAAAAGCAGCGTTTGACTCTGTTGACCGAGAGGTTCTGTGGCAGTGTCTGTCATTGAAAGGCGTACCTCAGAAGTACATAAACCTTGTGAAGGCTCTTTACTCGAACACTACTAGTCGAGTCAGAGCCTATGGCGAACTGTCATCTGCTTTTGCAACCTCAAGTGGCGTCCGTCAAGGCTGTCCACTTTCTCCTTTTTTGTTTAACTTTATCATAGACATCCTGATGGAAATAACGCTCTCATCGACTGACTTCTCGGGTATTGATCTCCTACCAGGAGGTCCACTTATTGACTTAGAATACGCAGATGACATAGTCCTGTTTGGTGAAGACGCTGATGAAATGCAGAGTCTTTTGGTAGCACTGAGCAACAATGCTAGAATGTTTGGGATGCGCTTTTCTCCCTCTAAATGCAAGTTGTTGCTTCAGGACTGGTCTGTGTCAACACCTGAACTAAGGATAGGGGGTGAAGTAGTCGAACGCGTTGACAACTTCACTTATCTTGGAAGTCTGATCAGCCCTAATGGGTTGGTGTCTGACGAAATCTCAGCACGGATTCGAAAAGCTCGCTTGGCTTTTGCCAACTTACGTCATCTATGGCGAAGGCGAGATATCCGTCTATCAATTAAGGGACGAGTATACTGCGCGGCAGTTCGTTCCGTTCTTCTATACGGCTGCGAAACATGGCCTTTAAGAGTGGAAGATACTCGTAAGTTACTAGTATTTGACCACAGGTGCCTTAGAAATATTGCGGGTATCTGCTGGGATTACCGGGTAAGTAATCGTGAGGTTAGACGCAGGGTATTAGGGAATGATGGTAAATCAGTTGATGAGGTTATGAATCTTCATCGACTGAGATGGTTGGGCCACGTGTTGCGTATGCCTGAACACCGATTACCAAGACGCGCAATGCTGACTAGTGCAGGGGATAATTGGAAAAAAGTTAGGGGCGGCCAAACCAAAACGTGGCATCAGTGTTTGAAGTCACTAACTTCTGGTCTGAGCCATGTTGGGAGATTCAGACTGCCTGGTTGGGGTCCGCGTGACTATCGTAACCAATGGTTGGAGACTCTTGGTGACATGGCTCAGAATCGATCACAATGGCGTCGGTGTATACACTCTCTGTCTTCCTTAAATTAAGAGATTAAAATCGCTTCATATCTGTCTAGAAACTAATTCTTTCTTCCTTTACTATCTCCTTATACACAATCTTCTATATATTACCACCACTGAATTAACTACTCCTATGAATCCGGTGTTCATCTTGTTGTGCTAATGCGGTATGGCAACTTGGACCGATGCATATACGTGCCTGGTCCTACGTTGCAGCTGACTGACTGACTGACTCACAAATAAGAACTGGACTCTGATGTGCTTTAACTGCATGGTGGGAAAACCTTGCCTCAATTAGAATACATTGAATACCACAGTTCTCTTCCAGTCTTCCTATTTCTGTCTAATCGAAAAGATAAATCTTACGGGGCAGATTTAACAGTGGAGGCCAAAGAATATCAAAAGAGTGATAATTAAATAGTGTCTCTAGTCATGGACGACTCGTGTGAGAAAATTTAGTGACAGAAAAAAGAGACTCAGATGTATAAAATCAAGGAATAAAAAGAAAAGTATCAATATTTTTGAGAATTTAACGTCTTTAATAAATCCCATCTACTTTAGTTTAGGTAACTGGGTGGCACCACTAGCTCCTAAATAAAGTCTTATTCAAAGCTCAGTACATATGTGTTAGATGAGGTACATTAATTAAAGTATCGAGAGGTGTAGACGTACAAGTTGAATTTCACCAGCTAATTCTAACCCATAGTTGTAGACTTTGGGCAGTCTTACTCAAAATCGATCACATTACTGTTTAGTTAATTCATTCTTTATCTTCCTCGAATTGTTACATATAAAATATTATTATATTCGTTTTCATTCTTCGAATTCATTTGTTTCGTTTAGTATGCTTAGTTTAGTCTTTTATTACCATTATCACTGTTTTGCTTTTGTTAACTTCGTCTCATTGTGCTAATATAAATGGTAGCAACTAAGATTTATCTATGCTTGTATTGTTTACAGCTGATTAGCCGGGTACCATTGAATTTCACATTAGTGGTGAGACAGAGAGATCAAATCTTCATGCCAGTTGCTCAATATTAGATTCTATCATGACAGTTGACGAGTAACTTACGAGGCTTAATCATTTTAAATACAATACATTGTACACACTTCGAAATGTTCACTTCATCACAGAGCTCTGAGTTTAAATATAGTTATTGTTCAATACCATCAATAACCCCTTTATATCTATATATATTCAGTCAGCATCACCGTCCTGTGGAGTTTGCTTGCTTAACAATCGTGTTTCATAGGATGTTTCTTGAAGATAACTACCAATTAGATTACCGCAGTTCTGTTATTTTTATCAATCCATCATCACGTCCGATTTTGTTGATTGAGTTGTTATTCTCATTATCTTCAATTTCTTTTTCAGCTTTACCGTGTTCATTGTTTTGTCAAATCAATCCATTTTATATAAATTTCGATCCAGATACTGTTATATGGTTGAATATATTTCTATTGGCACTACAGTTAAACTTGGTAATTAGACGCATAGTTCATTTTATTATTATTATTGATATTTCTATGTTGTTCCTTCTGTGGTTGTCTTTTGGCAATGTCTGTATTGCGTACTGTTAGAGGTAATACTGTATTTGTGTAATGTGGTTTAAACAAATTTGTAGGCAACTACCAACTTAGATGTTATTCTGGTTGGCACTTGCTAACCGATGGTATCTACAATCTTCAGGGAACTCCTCATACGATTCGAACTCGTGTCAAACAGTATCTCTGTTAAATTTGCTACTGTTGAGCTATTTGGTTTGTGGTTGACCTCTTGTGGAATATCCATACCTAAGTAATTATTACAAGATTTGTTAGGAAAAGGATATTTAAAAACCAGGGATTTGGTAACAGAAAAAATACTCTGGTTTTAAACAATCTAAGTCCAATTATATTGAGAATGTTGTAAAACTTTTTTAAATTGTCAACTCTATCACTTGAAATTTAGTGTTCCGGACTCTCATCTCTTGTTATGAACTACAAAAAAATTTGGCGCATCGATTTAGACATCTAGTTTCCAGTCAGTGGTTCGCAAACTGAATGTTCTCTTTCAACGATCAAATGGTACTCTTAGTTTTCTTGTATAACTTGAATGCCACTGTTTACTTATTCCTATCTGTTGTTTTTGTTATTGGTTATTCATATTTTTCACCATCTGTAGAAATAACAATATTAAACCTTGTGAAGACTTTACTCGAACACTACCAGTCGAGTCAGAGCTTATGGAGAACTGTCATCTGATTTTGCAGCCTCACGTCGTGTACGTCAAGGCTACTATCTTCTATTTTTGTTCAACTTCATCATGGAACTACTTTTAAAAATGACATTCTCGTCAAATAAATTTTTGGGCATTGATCTCTTACCAGGAGGTCCACTTATTGACTTGGAATACGCAGATGATATAGTCCTGTGTGGTGAAGACGCTGATAAAATGCAGAGTCTTTTGGTAGCACTGAGCAATAATGCCAGAATGTTTGGGATGCGCTTCTCTCCCTCTAAATGCAAGTTGTTGCTTCAGGACTGGTCTGCGTCAACACCTGAACTAAGGATAGGGGGTGAAGTAGTCGAACGCGTTGACAACTTCACTTATCTTGGAAGTCTGATCAGCCCTAATGGGTTGGTGTCTGACGAAATCCCTACACGGATTCAAAAAGCTCGTTTGGCCTTTACCAACTTACGTCATCTATGGCGAAGGCGAGATATTTGTCTATCAATTAAGGGACGAGTATACTGCGCGGCAGTTCGTTCCGTTCTACTATACGGCTGCGAAACATGGCCTTTAAGAGTGGAAGATACTCGTAAGTTACTAGTATTTGACCACAGGTGCCTTAGAAATATTGCGGGTATCTGCTAGGATCACCGGGTAAGTAATCGTGAGGTTAGACGCAGGGTACTAGGGAATGATGGTAAATCAGTTGATGAGGTTGTGAATCTTCATCGACTGAGATGGTTGGGCCACGTGTTGCGTATGCCTGAACACCGATTACCACGACGCGCAATGCTCACTGGTGTTAGGGATAATTGGAAAAAAGCTAGGGGCGGCCAAACCAAAACGTGGCATCAGTGTTTGAAGTCACTAACTTCTGGTCTGAGCCATGTTGGGAGATTCAGACTGCCTGGTTGGGGTCCGCGTGATTATCGTAACCAATGGTTGGAGACTCTTGGTGACATGGCTCAGAATCGATCACAATAGCGTAGTTGTATACACTTTTTGTCTTCCCTTAAACCGTGAGATTAAAATTACTTTATATTTTCCTTTCTACCAACTAATTCTTTCTTCCTGTATTATATTCTTATACGCAATCTTTCTTTTATATATTACTATCATTGAAGTAAGTACGCTTTGAATTTTGTGTTCATCTTGTTGTGCTAATGAGGTGTGGCAACTTGGACCGATGCCTATATGTGCCTGGTCCTACGTTGTAGCTGACTGACTGACTGAAAAATCTTAATAGTTATGCTGTCCTAGTGTTTATATATTGAACCATTCACAATAATATCATCATTTGAATGCGGTTTTCACTATGAACTGTAATATCTATAAATAGGCTTTGAACAGTTATCACATTCATCTTTAACAAAGTGCGTTAAAGAGACTATTAGTGCTAATTAACATTAGCTAAATATCGATCCTCAGATCTGTCTAAAAATATACTACAGGAATTGTAAATGGACCGAGATATGAAAAATGGAGGACATCATAAACGTATGTGAATTAGTTGTATTAAGTTGAAGTGAACTATGCAAAAACTCCGCCTGTAGCTCTTCCACAGTTACTGCCGGTCCCAAGCCCGGGTAAAGGAGGAGGGTTGGGCATGGGGTTAGCGTCCCCATCCCGTAGAAAACTAACTCTCTAAAAAAACGCTAACCAGAAAAAATAACTCAAACCATTTAAACTCTGCCCTGGAATTTAGAAGGTCTTCAGTTAGAAGAAATATGACGACTCATGGTGAAAGCCGAGTTCCTTCGGAAGCCACGAGGCCGATGCCCCTTCTAACAACCAGAGAAACAATTTTTATAGGTACATGGAACGTCCGGACAATGTGGGAGACCGCGAAGACCAGTCAAATAGCAACGGAAATGAGGAGATACAACTTGACAGTGCTGGGAATCAGTGAAACCCATTGGACCCAAGCTGGACAACAAAGGCTAAATACGGGAGAGATGCTGCTATACTCCGGTCACAAAGAGGAAAATGCTCCACACACTCAGGGTGTTGCTCTAATGCTATCCAAAGTAGCACGAAATGCACTGGTAGGATGGGAATCTCACGGATCCAGAATCATCAAAGCATCATTCAAAACAAAGAAGGAGGGGATCACAATGAACATTATCCAATGTTATGCACCTACCAATGATAGCAACGACGACGTTAAGGATCAATTCTATGAGAGGCTGCAATCAATCATAGAGAAGTGCCCAAGGAAGGACCTCACCATTCTGATGGGAGATCTAAACGCCAAAGTCGGAATGGACAACACGGGATATGAAGACATCATGGGACTGCATGGACTGGGAGAGAGAAACGAAAACGGGGAAAGATTTGCAAATCTGTGTGCATTCAATAAATTGGTCATAGGCGGTACAACATTTCCACACAAACGTATACACAAAGCTACGTGGATCTCACCGGACCACACCACAGAGAACCAGATAGATCACATTTGCATCAATAAAAAGTTCCGAAGGACAATGGAAGATGTGAAAACCAGGAGAGGAGCGGACATAGCTTCAGATCACCACCTGGTTGTGGCCAAATTGAAACTGAAACTAAAGAAGAACTGGACAACTGGACAAACAGCACCACAAAGGTTCAATACAGCCTTCCTTCGAGATACTGACAAACTCAATGAATTCAAGGTAGCTCTCAACAACAGGTTCCAAGCCTTACAGGACCTACTGAAGGAAGAAGAAACTACTATGGAGGATAGCTGGAAAGGTATCAAAGAAACATTAACTTCAACGTGTCAAGAGGTTCTGGGCCCCAAGAAGCATCATCACAAGGAATGGATCTCTATAGAAACACTGGACAGGATCAAAGAAAGAAAGAACAAGAAGACAGCAATTAACAACAGTCGAACAAGAGCAGAGAAAGTTCAAGCACAAGCTGAGTACATAGAAGCAAACAAGCAATTGAAGAAGAGCATTAGAGCTGACAAGCAAAAATACGTGGAAGAACTAGCAATGACGGCGGAAAAAGCTGCAAGAGAAGGAAATATGAGACAGCTTTACGATACGACGAAGAAGCTAGCAGGGAAATACAGTAAACCAGAGAGACCAGTCAAAGACAAAGAAGGAAGACCAATCACTGAGATTCAACAACAGCGGAACAGATGGGCAGAGTACTTCGAGGAACTCCTGAACAGGCCGGCCCCAATGAATCCACCGGACATCGAAGCAGCACACACAGATCTTCCTATAGATGTCAATCCACCAACGACCGAAGAAATCAGAATGGCCGTCAGACAAATCAAGAGCGAGAAAGCAGCAGGACCTGACAATATACCAGCTGAAGCGTTGAAGTCAGACATCGAAGTAACTACAAGCATGCTTCATCTTCTATTCAAGAAGATTTGGGAGGAGGAACAAATGCCGATGGATTGGAAAGAAGGACACCTCATCAAGATTCCAAAGAAAGGAGATCTGAGCAAGTGTGAAAACTACAGAGGCATTACACTACTGTCAATACCAGGTAAAGTCTTCAACAGAGTGTTACTGAACAGGATGAAAGACGCAGTAGACGCTCAACTTCGAGATCAACAAGCTGGATTCCGTAAGGACCGGTCGCGCACAGACCAGATTGCGACACTACGGATCATCGTCGAACAATCAATTGAGTGGAACTCGTCACTCTACATCAACTTCATTGATTATGAGAAGGCATTTGACAGTGTAGATAGGAGGACGTTATGGAAACTTCTTCGACACTACGGAGTTCCTGAGAAGATTGTCAACATTATCCGGAACTCATACGACGGACTACAGTGCAAAGTAGTGCATGGAGGACAGCTGACAGACGCATTCCAAGTAAGGACCGGAGTAAGACAAGGCTGTCTACTCTCTCCCTTCCTGTTTCTTCTGGTGGTCGACTGGATTATGAAGACCTCGACATCTGAGAGAAACTACGGCATACGATGGACAGCTCAGAACCAATTAGACGACTTGGACTTCGCAGATGACCTAGCCCTCCTATCGCATACACACGAACAAATGCAGATAAAGACAGCCAGCATAGCAGCAGTCTCTGCATCAGTAGGCCTCAACATACACAAAGGGAAAACCAAGGTCCTCAAACACAACACGGAGAACAGCAATCCAATCACTCTTGATGGCGAAACTCTGGAAGATGTGGAATCCTTCACATACCTGGGAAGCATCGTCGATAAACAAGGAGGTTCAGATGCAGACGTCAAGGCGAGGATTGGCAAAGCTAGAGCGGCATTCCTTCAACTGAAGAACATATGGAACTCAAAACAACT